TGAGAGAAGAACTGGAAATAAAGGAAGAACTAGAAATAAGTTGGGATTCTAGTATTTTTATTTTTTTAGAGTTTTGTTGAAGTTGGGTTTTTAATTCTTTTACTTCATTTTTTAGCATCTTAATTTCTTTATATAATTCTTTAGTATATTCATCCATATCGACCTTTTTAGGTTGATTTTTATTTAAAATGGTAGTTAAATCATAAGTATTAGACTGAATTTTAGGAGTAATATTTTTTACGGCATCTTCGTCTTCAAAACTTTTTATTAGTTTTTTAAGAAGTTTAGCTCTAATTTCTTGATCTTCAATTCCATTAACTACTGTTAATAAATTACTTTGATCTTTAGATGTTTAAAGAATATTTTGATGAACTGGAAGAACTTGTATTAGTTCCTAATTCATCAATTTGATTTTCACTTTCATTAATCTCAGATTCCGAGGAATCCGAATCAATATATAATTCATAAATTTTATTTAGAACATTATCTTCTAAATTTAATTCATGTAATCTTTTATTAAATTTACAAAATTTAGATGTATGCCCTTTTTTATCACAATTATAACAAGTCAAATTTTTATAAGTTATATGGTTGCTTTCCTTTAGATTTCTTATAAGGCTTTATTCTTTCTTTTTGATAGTATTTATCATGACTGGGTTTAGACCTATAGTGTTTTCGATAATACTTTTTATTAACTTTGTCTCCTTTATAATATTTTTTAGGTGGTTTAGAACACTGCCCATCACATTGCTGTGAGGGAGTGATACTATAATTAAACTGTTTACAAAATGATCCTAATTCTTTTTTAGTTTTCTTCATTTCATATTTTAAAGTTCTTTGAAGTTTTAAGTCTTGACATATTTGTAGACCTTCTTTTTGAATTATACTAATTAATTGTCCATAAGTTAGTTTACTATATGGTATAGGTTGACCAAATTGTTGTTTAATTTGATTTCTAACTTTCTCACCTAAGAAATAAGGTAATCCTGCCAAAAACTTTTCTTTCCAAAAGCTTTGGTTGGAATCTTCCCTTAACATTAATCTAGTGAGAAAAGTTGTTTTATAATTTTGAAAATCACCTAAGTTTCTACATTTTAAATTACTAAGTAACTCTTATCTTTTTAAGTAGATGGATCTCCTATAAAATGAAAGTGAAATTGAAGTGAAATAGTGAGAATTAAAGATGACACTGCATCTTGAATTACTTCACCATTTTCATCATATATAGGTTCACCTTCATCATCTATTTGAATGATGATGAAGGTGAACCTATATATATATGTATACATATAAAGACTTCGTTTTAGTATTCTATGGATTTAGATCTACCAACAAAAGGGTAATAAAAAGACTCAGATTTACTTAATAAAAACGCCATTTACTATAATATCCGCAGGATCAAGAATGCGGTACGAAGTCCCTGTCGCGGCGCCCATACACCAGGACAACGCCCATACACCAAGATCGTGACAACCTGCAGTACCTCAGAACCACAACCGTGCTAGAGTTACCTTCAGAACCACTTTTTTACGGCTTGTTGTTGTTTTTAGTGCCGTGATTGTTGTGTTTTGCGTTCCTGACTATGACGTTCTAATGTGTATGTTAATTATTATATTTATGATTATAGTAATTTTCATGGCATTTTTTTATTTGTACTAATAAATATGGAATTAGAGTCATAAAAAAGCCCAATTAGCATCTGCCATCAAAGCTCAAAAGTAGTTAATTAGAAATATTCGAACGTTCCACCTCATTGTATATGTGAGAGTTTGAAAGAGAAAAGAAAAAGAATTTTACAAAATTAAGTGAATCTCTTGAAGAAAACTTTTTTTTCCTTTGAAACAATGATTATTCAAGAATTTCGAAAGTTTTTTGTTAATCTCTTTTTATTCTTCTTTAGAAAGTTCTTTTTGTTTTATTGTTGAATTTAGTTTAAAGAAAGAATCTGAAGTTCTATGGACGTGACTTTTTTTAAGACACTACTTTAAAAAAAAAAAAATAAAAAAGCTACATCGGTTAAATATTTTAGGAAATTTTGTAATGCCAACTACTATCATTGCGAACCCATTTTATTAACAACAATACTAGAATTGAGATTACAAGCTCAAAACAATGAAGGCCACAGACTAGATAATGATGTAAGATTTAAAGCTCACAATCATTTCTTGTCCTTTTTTTTGATCTGATTTAATTTTCCTGGAAAATTTGAATACCCAGGTGATACCTTTTTTGCTGTTCTTATCTTTCTTGAAGAAGGAAGTTATGATGAAGTTAGAAGACTTTCCTTCTTCTAGGGTGTTGATATACATTGTATTTCCTCCAATTCTTTCCTCTGATCTGGCATTTCTTGATGTTTCTTCCATTTTGCCTCTCTCTTATCAAATTAGAAACTCTGCTGAGCAGGGCAGTCTCCAAGAGATCTAGGTTGGCCTTATGTTAAAATGCTAATCAAAACTACCCAAAACCCAAATCTTATTTTTATTGTCGTAGTGTTATAGTTTGAGAGGTTTCCATGAAATGTTGCGCGTTTATATTTACTATGTTATATATATATCTATATATATATATATATATATTCAGCATTTTTTAGTGTACAAAATAAGAAATAGAGTCAAAAATACCCAATTAGCATTGCCACAAAGCCAAAAAGTAGTAAATCACACTCATTGAAGATTTTGAAAGAGAAAAAAAAGATTTACAAAATTAAGTGAATCAAGAAAATTTTTTCCTTTCGAAACAAGTGAATCAAGAATTTCGAAAGTTGTTTAATCTTTTATCTTTAGAAAGTTCTTTGTTTATGTATTATTAAAGAAAGAATCTGAAGTTCATGGACGTGACTTTAACACTACTTAAAAAAAAAAAAAAAATTAAAAAGCATACACAAAATTAGAAATTAATGCAAACATCAATCACCCAATTATTAACAACAAACAGAATGATTACATAGCTCAAACAATAAGGCCAAGACTAGAAAATGTAAGATTTGAAGCACACAAATCATTCTCCTTTTATCTTTTAATTTCCTGGAAAATTATACCCAGGATGGACCTTTTTGCTGCTTACTTTACTTGAAGAAGAAGATGAAGAAGTAGAGACTTTCCTTTCTTCGGTGGAAACATTATTTCCTCCAATTCTTTCCTCTTCTGCTTTCTTGAGTTTCTCCTTTTGCCTCTCTCTTATCAAATAAACTCCTGCACAGGCAGCTCCAATGGAAGTCATGGCTTAGTTAAATGCTAATCAAAACTACCCAAAACCCAAATCTTATTTATGTCGAGTGTATACAAGTTGAGAGGTTCCAAATGTGCGCGTATATATATATATATATATATCCCACAAATATTTTTAATAAAATACCTTTTTTCTTAATAACAGCTCAAACAACAATATCAAAAGACATGATTATTGCTTCTGTTTGTTAATCGCTTTTCTGCTACAATGCTTTACTCATGGAAGGGAGTAGAGTTGTTGCATGCTAACTTTTGTAACTCTCTGGCTTTGGTATTAACCTTCTTTTCTATTTATTTAGAGGTGGTTGAAAGGCATCAACAATGAAGAATTTATTAAATAATGATCAAGTCGAAAACTGATTTACGTAAATTTTCGTTGAAGGGTTGTACTGTTATAAGAACGACCATATATGCGAGGGATTAATTTAATTTAAATGTTGGATTAAAATTTATTTTTCATGACCTAGTGTCCTAGTCTATGGTTCTAATTGCATCTCATGGCTCAAGTTCTCATGTGATTTGGTTATTTAAAAAAGAAAAAAAAAAGAAAAGAAAAGAAAAGAAAAGAAATTTAAGTTAATATGGAGTTCAAACCCAGTGAATGTTTTCATCACTTCAAACATTCTTTTATGCCAAAAGAAGTCAAGCCACAACTGTAAATTGATTAAAACTTTAAAAGTTCATTTTTAAATAATTTGATTATCTAGTTTAGTTCATTTTTACCAAAAAAGATTGAAGTGCTAAACTGAATAACAGGGTAGTCCCTCTTAACTCACTGAATTGATGAAAAATCTTGTGATGGGAAGAACTCAAACTCGAGACGAGACCTCCCAAAGAAGACCAATCAAAAGTAAGCGTTAAGATCTTAATTATTTCACTTAATTTAATATATTTTTCATAAACTTAATTCAATTTAGTTATTTTTCTAAAAAAAAAAAATGCCTTACGAAAATCTGAACTGAACCTTCCAAATCCAGATTGCTCTAGCCTGGATTCATTTTTTAACTTTCACTAATTTTTTCTTAAGTTCTACTTCGCCTGTTTCACATTCTAACTGTTTAAAAACTTGTTTGACTGTTACTACAAATTTAAGCAAGGTGTTAAAATAATTATTTTCTTTGCTATGTGCACTGTTAAATGGATGCGATCCTGAATAAATATATACATGGAAAACATTTTTAGCATAATTTGTGTGAGATCCAATATGAGTGAAAAGACTATAATATCCTTAAAAGGCTTTTCAGCAGTATTAGATATTGCTGATGTCAGATTAAATGTATACTTGTAAGATGTGCATAGATACGCAATCAAGCACATTTAACAAGTAATAAGAAGAAACCATTAATGTTTTCAGGCATGGAATATGTGATTTAACAACAAACCGTTTGTTGTCAAACATTGTCAGTATTTTACATGGTTGGGGAACTACAAGCCGTTTTGTCTATTACAAAAGCCTAAATACATCCAAACCCAAACCTCTAAATCCTACAAATTTTGGCTATTGAGACTCCAAAAAATTTTATGTCCATTATTTTTTTACTGACAAATGGATAAGTTTGATAAATAAATATTCCCTTCTCAATTCAGTAAAATCCTTCTGAACCATCAGAATATCCAAACTGATTTCCTGTATTTGAATAGAAGATATAAGAATTTATAGTGGATTTTTCAATCTAAACAGGAGAAAATCTTGAACTGATAAAAATAGTATCAATCACATGATTTATCTTCCGATAAAATCGATTGACCACTGGCAATCAAAAAATCCTCCGTTTTTAAGCATTGTCAAAACCCTCGTTTCTCTCTTTCTTTCCCTTCTTGGAAACCACTTCTGAGGTTTCCTTTCACCTCCATCTCCATTTGCAAAAGATCTCTCTCTTTTGGAAAAATGAGTTTGAGAGAAGAACAGATTCATGTCATGTTTCTTCCATACATGGCACCAGGTCATATGATGCCCATGGTAGATATGGCCAGGCTATTTGCTGCAAATGGAGTACGAGTAACAATAGTCACTACAAAAATGAATGCAATTCGTTTCAAGAACTCTATTGACAAAGATTTCAGATCTGGTCGAAACATTTCATTGGAAATTCTTTCTTTCCCTTCATTACAAGCCGGATTACCTCAAGGCTGTGAAAATTTGTCTTCTACAACCACGCCTGAAATGACTATTAAATTATTCCACGGCATTGGATTACTGGAACCGCAAATTAAAATCGTTTTCCAACAACACCGCCCTGATTGTATTATTTCCGATTATCTCTTTCCTTGGACGGTTGATGTTGCGGCGGAGCTTGGAATTCCAAGAATTGCTTTTAGCGGTAGCAGTTTCTTCAATCTTTGTGTAGCCAATAGTATTGAGTGTAATCGGCCTCATGATCTCATTAAATCGGAGACGGAATCATTTATTGTTCCTGGATTGCCCGACCAAGTGAAATTAACAAAATCGCAGCTTCCTGATATTGTAAAAAGCAAAACGGAATTTTCTGATTTGTTCGATAAATTGAAAGAAGCGGAGAGAAAAAGCTTTGGAGTTTTGATGAATAGCTTCTATGAGTTGGAGCCAGCTTATGCAGATCACTTCACTAAAGTTACAGGAATAAAAGCTTGGCATTTAGGGCCTGTTTCTCTTTTCAATAGAGATGATGATGATAAAGTGCAAAGAGGAGATAACACTAATGTGTGTGAGCGTAGTTGCTTGAATTGGCTTGACTCGAAGAAACCCAATTCTGTACTTTACGCTTGTTTTGGAAGCCTTACTAGATTTACTAAGGATCAAACAGTTGAAATTGCTAATGCACTAGAAAATTCAGGATTTCCATTTGCTTGGGTTGTAGGTAAGATTGTTAAATGCAAGAACAATGAAGAAGATGAGGAAGAATGTTGGTTGCCTGGAGGGTTTGAGGATAGATTGAAAGAAAGTGGTAAAGGAATTGTAATAAAAGGATGGGCACCGCAAGTTCTAATACTAGAACATGCTTCAATCGGAGGATTTTTAACACATTGCGGTTGGAATTCTATTCTTGAAGGTTTATGTGCAGGTGTGCCTTTGGTTACATGGCCAATTTTTGCAGAGCAATTTTACAATGAGAAATTGGTAACCCAAGTGTTAAAATTTGGAGTGCCTATTGGGAATGAGATATGGAAAGTATGGGCAAATGAGGAATCGCCATTAATAAGGAGAAATAATATTGAAAGAGTAGTGAGATTGGTGATGGGTGATGGAGATAAAGCAATGCAGATGAGAAAAAGAGCAAGACAATTACAAGAACGGGCTAAAATTGCAGTTGAAGAAGGTGGGTCATCTTACAACAACTTGAAATCGGTAATTGAAGACATTAGAGTTTATAAACGAGCAACAGAGAAAGTAAAGGAAATTGAAGGGAATCATTTAATAGAGTTAGAAAAACCCCAACAAGAGGTAACTGCACCTTGATCTCCCTCTAGAATACAATAATGGCATGTCATTTTTATATTTTGTTCAAATTGATGAGATGGAGATGGTTGAACTATCATCATCATCTTCTTCTTCTTCTTCTTCTTTTGTACCATGCATTTTCAAAACGTAGAATTTCTTTTTGGACTAATCACTATGTGATGAAATTTCTTGCCTTTGGATTTATGCCTATATAATTCGTGGAATTGAAATCCCTTGCCATAAATTTTAACGGTTGAATATGAAATGTTATTAAGGCAGTGTTTGTATTTTCTTTTCTTTTCTGCAATTTATTTTTTTTTTTATAAATTTGCTTTCTGTATATATTCATTCTTTTTTTTTTTTTAATTTTATATGCACATTTTGTAATTTGCTTTTCTATTTGATTCACTTTGATAATTTTATATACATATTATTCTATAATTATATTTTGTGTACAAAACACAGTTCTTTTGCGTGACAATAACAGTGTGGCTGCACCTAGCCACGGCTAATTAACTTTTCCATAAGAAGGAATAGTGATTTCTTACCAATAAATATATACATAGCCCAAGATGCATATTTATTTATATAAATATACTACTAATATATATGTATATTTAGCTTAACAACCAACAAAAAATAAGCTGAACATAGTCTAAGATAAACCATTTTGTTCTAATTTTGAAAATTTATTGTAATTATATTCACTTAATTAAAATTGAAATGAAGAATAACTGATTATAACTAACATATTTTTAACTATTTATTATTGGCACTCATAAATATAACTAACATAATTTATTATTTATTATTTTCCATATTTGTGATATTTCAAAATTTTTAAATATAAAAAAAGACTGTATAATTAATTGTTAATATCTATAATTGTTACTCAAATTCAACTTTTGGTCTTACCAACAAAATAATATTTAAATTAACAATTTTCCCTCTTGACCTCTCTAATATTAATAAAAAAAAAAATCAGAAAGTAAGTTACAGCATAGCTTTCTCACCATTTATTATTCATTATTCAACCTATACAACATATTATTGACAACTGGATGAGAAAAGAAATTATGAACAGCTGCTGCTTGCTTAAAATCTATATTGCAAAAACACTTATTATTTTTATTATTATTATTATAGGAAATAAAATAATTTTTGATAAGAATACATGATGTGATTTATCAGTTGCAGTCTTTATTTTTCTCATTCTCTTCATTTTTCTGATTGGAATGAGTTTTTGGTACCAATCATAAACTGGTGAGAGATCAACTTCAATCACAAAGTTGTAATCAAATCATCATTTTTGGAAAAAAAAAATTTGAAGAAACGTATTTGTGGGATCCACTCTGTTCCTAACACAAATACAGATTAAACTCCACCTTTGATTGTCATGTGGCAACCAAATCAACATTTTAAATGCTGTTGTTCTGTCCCTATCATTCTCTCAAATACTTGCAGACTTTCTTCCTTCCTTCATTTAAATTGCTAGCCTCCTTTCTTTATCTTTGCTTTTACGCTATTGCGACTCTTTGTTACACAAATAATGCTCAGTTTATTTTCGGAAATTTTTAATTAAAAGACTAATACGATCCTTTTTTTATCTAAATAATAAAGTTATTAAGTAAAAATAAATAATGTGTTTAAGCTGAAAGAAAACCAGATTATTAGGTTTTCTTTTTATTTATTTTTCACACGAGTTGAATAACTAAAAAATGGATCAAATCGATTTTATAAATTTAAAATTTCTACTAAAATGGATCTAAAAAGTAAATTATTCTACATGTGAAAAAGTGTGGAGACAAATTAATCATTAGTCTTATAATTGTATATGCCATAAAATAAAATGGACGACATTCTACAGTTGTTCTCTGTTAATTTGAAGGAGAAAAAAAAACAGAGCAAAACCCTGAAGATCTGGATTTAATCATAATTGACATTAGGGTAGTTATGTCATTTCAGCTAATGTAATGTCAGTATGTCACAGTTTAGTTAGAAGAATAAAAATGATTGTTAAGTAATTATTAAAATTAAATAATTATCCTCATGAGGTGTATCTTTCTGGTCCATAATACTAATTGCCTGTAACAAAAATTAAATTAAAAAAAAAAAGTGTATTATTTTCTGCCAACTAAGAGAGAGAGATAATACTAATAGTGGTGGCATGTTGGGATTAGATCTTGCGTTTTCAAGTTTGGCTCGGCTTGTCTTTTTTGTTTATTTATTGTACATCATTTCTTATTATTTTCTCATTTTAAAATTAATAAACCAAAGCACTAACATTTCGGAACAAATAAGAATATTCTTTTAAAAACTATTTTTCAATATGATGTGAAATTAAACCATTTAATGTTTGCATTATTATAAAAAGAAAATTTAACGCTAATTTCACAGTCTCAGTTGGTTTCAGTTCAAAATAAGATGCTCCTATCTAATAGTCAATGAAAAGTAATTTAAAAAAAAAATAATTCTTTTTGAATATCGGGATTTGAACTTAGATTTATTATCAAATTGTATATACACTTACCATTAGTTTATGTCTTAATGTGAAAAAATATATAATTTTTATTTTATGAAAAATTCACAAAATGAGATAATAATTTCAATAAAAAAATATTTACATTGTCAAATGCTTTCTTTAATGAGACATAATTCATTTAGCAGTTTGGATTTAAATATAAAAAAAGTACACAAAAGAATAATATTTTATTAAGAATTCATAAAATGATAATCATTTTAGTAAAATTGTTTAAATAATCAAAATAATTTTTCAATCCGAAAACACAAATCATATGGTAATTTTAGTGTATAAATTCTTCAAGTTAAACAACATATGCTATAAACTCTCTTAATCACTTATAAATTATCAAGAATAATAAAGTGCTTCAAGATGAATAAAAAAACCTAAAAACTTTATTCAAAAAAAAAACCTAAATACTAATATACAAATATTTAAGTGAATGTTATTTAAAAAAAATATTAAAGTGAATATATGAATTATTATGTAAAAATGAATTTACTAATTAACACATAACACTAATCACATAAATGTCTATCCATGTATCCTCTCATACTGCGTGATAAAGGTCTCCTATTAAAATGTAGATTTCAGGGCAATACATTTTCCTAATACTTTGATATTTTCCTTAAGGCTCAACATTTATATCTTTACTTATGTAAAGAGCTTGAATTACATTCATATATGTTTATTTTGAGCTGAAAAATGTCATATGAGCCTGTTGATTAGATGTCATTATCGTGTCGAAGGAACTATTAAAAGAGTATCTAGAATGAAGTGTAGACACAGCATAATTATGCTAGAAATATTATTTTGAAAATATAATAGAAATTTTGTTCTATAATGATTTTAGAAATATATTTTGTTATAAGTATTACAAATCATCTAAATTATAAAATATTGATATTTAAAATATTAGAAATATTCACGTTTGATCCATAAAATAAATATTTATAAACTTTCTATTTATATCTTGCACTATTTGAATTAAAATTTATTTACATTTATATATAATAAGTATACCTTTAGATAAAAATAAAATAAAAGATCAAATACCAATGAGAGTTATGAAAAAAAATTAAAAACTAACGGTGGTTTGAGTGACTGAATGGGTTAAATCATCAGTTAAATCATAAACTTTACGAATTGTAACAATTCTACCCTAAAATAACCTTAACCCCTCAGGCACCCTATAAAAAATCAGCTGCTGCCTGTGCATTTAGGGTCTCCAATTCTTTTAATTTTTTGTTGAAGGCTGCCTCATAGCTGGAGTAAACTATAGCCCAGAATACTTGCTTGTAGCCTTCTCCTCTATGCTTTTTCTTCCAATTAACATGTATGTGGACAGTACAGTTTCTGTGCTCAACATTGGGTACAGGGTCACTAATTGCATTCTCCAATCCCTGCAAGTACACACTGAAAAGACAATTAAAAGATTAAACACTAGTTCATTATTAATTAATTAGCATAAAATATAGATATCACCTGATCACTAATAATGGTAAGTCCAACTCCACAAATGACACTAATGTCCTAGAATAGCAATTTTAGAGTCAACTATCCTCCTTTTCTCTTTCCACAACAGCCTAGGCAACCGGAAACATTTGATTATTTCTGTCTTTAGCTACGACACTCAATAGAACTCCCCCTAGCATTATTTTCAAAAAAACACCCATCCAAAAACAGACATGGTCTACAACCCTCCTTAAACCCATTAATCAAAGAAGAGAACCAATATATAACCTTTTAAACACATTTGGCCCCCTTGAACTGTTCTCACACTGGAGCACAGATGTACCTTCGGGATTAACTCTTCTTAACTTTGTAATGTAAGACCTCAATTTATCATAATGAGACTCCAAAGATACAATTAACCTTGCCACTGCCTTAACCCTTGCTCTATAACAAGTTTGCCTATTGACTGTCACATCATATTTATCATTCATGTCATGTACCATCTTATCTACACCATAATTTGGATATTTCCTGATTTGTCCTAAGAATTCTCTTGCTATAAAGTCTGAAGTGGCTTATCTATTAGTAAGTGATCTGAAGCATTTATGTTCTCATTTTATGGTTTTGATCACCCATGACTTGTCCCTTCCTCTGGTGCTAGCATACAATCTCCAAGGACAGTCCATTTGACATCTACAATCAACCTTGGTAATCTCACTTTTCCTCCATCTTACATTGAAACTATTGTGCAAAGCAAATTTTTTTCACTCCATACATTAGTTCATACTTTGAAGCAAAAATCATACCAGCAGTAAATTGAATATTCTTGTGGTCACATGCTGCATCATATACATTTTTTATCTTCTTCTTTCTCTCCTTGATATTCATATCTCCTTCAACACTACTATTTCTACTTGAATATTCTGCATTTGACTTAAAATAGACCTCAGGTTGTTTCCACACATCAATCCCTTCTACACCATCATGACCTTCTACAAGTTCAGCATTATGAATTTGCTTTGCAAGAAATGCATCATTCAATCCTAGCCCAACCCTATTATTCACTAATATATTTTTCATAACTTAAGGGGTTCTCCCTAGCTTGAATACATTCCTCATCATACATATCTTCTTCAGCTAACAAGGCCACATCACTGTCACATTCCTCATTTGTGTTTTCATATTCAATGTCAACATGAATACAATCATCTCCTACATGATTCTCATTGTGACCTGTGTCAGGCATATGAGGATTATCTCCATCACTAAGTTCATTTTGAGGGATCTCTAAATGCTCTATTTCATCATTAGTTGACG